AGACTAGCAGTGAAGTGGCCTGCTCAAGGTGACACATGGTGAATATCACACTGAGACCAGTACTCATGTCCACCTAGATCCAACATTGAGGTTCTTTTCTACCATGACAGCTCACCTTCTTCATCATGGAAGGTCCTTGGACACCTTGGTAGAAAGATGATGGAAGGTTTTAACCCGTGGCAGGATATCAGAAACGAATGTGGAGATTTTGTGAATTACAGTTTTCCAGATCCTTTTAATATGACCTTATGGAGACTGGGCCCAAGCATCAGTACTTCTCAAAAGCTCCAGAATTAATCATCTCTGATATGCAGCCAAAATTGAAAGTCATTGATCCAGCTGCAATGATTATACAACAATTTAACATTTAATAACGTTTTCTTTATAGGATCCCAGACTGGTTCATTCATTCAATAAATACGTTTGAGCTCCTATGACCAGATGAGCTAATGTTCTTGGTAAAACATTCATCTTTGGTTCCTGGCACACAGAAAATGTTCAATACCTCAATTATATTCATCACCCCCTAACGAGAACTCCCGTGTTCCAGAGAGTGGGCAAAGTGATTCAAATGCGGAGGGAAGGAGATATAGGCAGGCTTGAAGCAGACACAGGTAAAAAAAAAAATTACCAACAACAAAGGAGATGGGCAGTGGTCACAGGCAGAGGTGGCTTTGCCAGAGACTTGGTTCTAAGATACTCAGTGGTGTGTAAGTGTGCCATGCCTTCTTATTGGAAGACCCTGGGCTAATTTCTGCAATGTATTAAACTGCCTGACAGCTGGTCTCAGTTTTCAACAGAAGACAAAAACCAGGGTTCTGAGATACAGTTCTAGAATCTGACCCAGAAAAGAATTGAGTCTCATCCCTTATTATCAAAATCTTCTGGCAAATACTAGGTAGAAATTCATGATCCTGTCTATACCAAGAAAGCCCAGTGTCCTTGCCCTGTGTGAAGCCTACCTCTGGGAGGTAGCAGGTGCAGGAAGGCAGATGTATCATCCATGTGCCAGCTCTGTTCTTGTCATTTCTGAGTAGCATTCTTCCAGTAATAAGGAAGCCTTCCTTAAATGTTGACAAGGGTTAAGAAGACAGCTTGCGATTTGTATAGCATATGAGTGGAGGCAAAGCAGGGTATGAGTTGGAGAGGACTCCTAGTATTCCCCCACAGGGAGGAACCTTCACAGGGCATCCACACAGAACAAAGAGGAGGCTGCTGCGCTACCACTTGCTGTCCAGTTTCTTTGGCCTCCGTCAGCCCTGTCTGCCGTGGAAACATGGGGCAGGACAAGCAAGACGGGGAGAAACCAGAATTCCAACTTCCAGCCCAGTGACGGATGATTCATCCCTCAACCCTCATGTCAGCTCCCATTTGCGCAGTTCTCATCTTTATTTCATGAATATTTCATTCTCAGAGCAATGATTCCACATCCCCCATAAATCTAGCGGGTGGCTCTTTACTGCGTTCCCGAGAGCTTGGTGCACTCACCTGCATTGGGTAACTACATAATTGTCTGATTCCTCAGAAAAAATATGAGCTCAAATGCACATGAATATTAAGAGGTTGAATGCACATTACTACTCTTCCCCAAAAAGGTGTCTAAACTCTGAGGACATCACAGCACAAGCCATTAAACACAGCTCAGGCTCCACCCAAAGACAGGTTTTCAGCTCTTAAGAAATATAGCCAGCATCCCCAAAACGAAACATTCCAAGAGTTTCCAGACCACCTCACCTAATTGCAATGCTGCTCCATAAAACATGGGCTAGCAGCAATGTGAAGGGGATCTAAATTAAATACCTTTATTATTTCACCACGGTTTTCAAAATATAATTCTAAAAGATTGCCATTTCACCTCTATCCTCTGTTCGTAGATGATGAGGTTCAAATCCCTTGCCCTGGCATTAAGACATTGGAAGTAGACCCACACTCCTTCCATGGATGCTTCTTCTGGCTTCTCTATCCTGCCCTTACTTTCTGTTAACCCCTTGTTTACCTTGTCCAAAATACAACTTTCCGTCTCATCTCCCATTCAATGATTTTTTACCAGTTTCTCAACACTCCACACTCGCATACTCAAGCCCCAAGAATCTTCACTAATCTCCATACACTCTAATTCCCAGTAGCCCCACCATGTGCCCTCTAGGCTGGGCCTCCTATGTGCGCTAGTGGTTCTCATTGCTTATGTCAGGACAGCCCAATCTCCATGATGGAGACTGGTGAGCTGTGCTGTAGCTGCCCAAGAGGTAAAGAAGTACCCTGGAAAGGAGAAGGTTCCATACAGACATAATTGTTAAAGGGAGCAAGGAGGGAAATGGGACAAACGTCCTCTGCAGGTTGGGGACCTCTAAAAAAAGGGAAAAGTTCCCCAGCAGCCCATTTAAACAGCACCAGGAGGGGGAGGGGGGCAGCTACTGTGCTTCCCCATGACTGTAATTCTCGTTTCTGCCTTCTGTCTGGATGCAGACTGACAGCCAGGCAAGGAGGCTCACACTGTGGAAGCACAAATTGCTTGGAAGTGTATTCTCTTCTATCAGCAAGAGGGTTTTTAATGCAGAAGGGAGAAAGCAAGAGGAGGAGCTTCCCAGAAAGAAGCCAACAATCTGTGCTTCCACAAGCTGGCCATCTTCATATTCTGTCTTCTCTTTTTGTTTGAACCTTCTTACTTATGTCTCTGTCTCTTTCTGTCTCTGTCTCTCTCTGTCTCTCTCTGTCTCTCTCTGTCTCTGTCTGTCTCTCTCTCTCTCAATAATTCTGTGTGGCCACAACTGGAATATTACTGCACTAGGGGCTATGAAGGGGTAAGACTAAAAAAGACTCGATGTACACAAAGTTGACCTCCCCTCCCCCTGCCGAAAAAACCCACAATGAACTCGAGCCCAGGTCACTGCCCACATCAGCCAGGAGAGACATCTCCGTGCCACTGCAATGGACACCCACCTGAAAATAACCCCCCCTTGCTAATCTGACCCATGGGTTTTGTTTGTACAGGGGAAGCCAAGAGGCTGTCTGAGGAGAAAGCCCAGACCTCAAACAAGCAAGCAACACAGAGGAGGACAGGATGTGGGTCAATCGGCCATTCTTCTGTTTGTCCTGTCTGATATCTTTCTATTTAAAGAGGTTCTAGGACCACCCACTACACCTGCCTGAAGATGCTCTTATGTACAGAGACCTGGGTCCTGTCTTACATCTTCTGACTCAGAGGAGTTCTAGGACCAACCCCATGTGTGCCTGAAGATGCTCTTATGTCCAGAGACCTGCGTTCCTATCTTACATCTTCTGACTCAGAGGAGTTCTAGGACCACCCCCATGCCTGCCTGAAGATGCTCTTATGTACAGAGACCTGGGTGGTGACGGCAGGAAAGGTGTCGTGGGTTGTGGGAGAACTGACAAGATTCTGTAGCTGCTGAGGATGCCGGGGACTCTTCTTCACCTGTTCATTAGTAAGTCAGGCTCCCTTCTTTTTTAAATATAAGAAAACTTTTTAAAATATAATTATTTCCCAACTTAACAAACTACAGCTTTGGATAGAGCCATTAACTGTTCCTTTTTGTGAGTTTTCCTTAAACTTCCCCCTTTTTCCCTCCTGTGTTTTTCAGGGATGACAAGAGAACATTCAAGATGGTAGAGAAGCCAGGCTTCCTTCCTCCCTTCCTTCCCTTCTCTCCCTCCCTCCCTCCCTCCCTTGGGACACTTCAGTGCTGACTCAGCAGTGCCTGCCATCCCAGACAAAAGCCCCTGGCTGACTGACTTCAAGGAGTGGCTAGTCAGAGGGGCAGGGGGCAGCCACTGCCTTCCTGTCAGGGATTCCCTTGCAGACTGATGGATGAGGGTGCAGCCATCCAATCCTGGCAGTTCTCCGAAACAGAAACAGATGCCAGGTTGGGCCGCCTTTGTTGTTCAGAGGTACCAGTTCCCAGGCCCCCACCAGGCTGAGGGAGATCATGCAGCATTTCCCTCCCCCTGCCCATTTGTGTTTCCTGCCCTGGTTTATTTTGCTTTTCTCCTTGACCTCCCGCCTCTGCAGCCAATTAATGAACTTGTGTGTGACCTGAGCCTCCAGTAAAAATGAAACCAGGAACATAACGTTCTTAATAACAATTGCTTTTGGAAAGAATGTCAGCTGCTTTACAGCTTCCTATCTGAGATTTATTTCCAGAGGCCTCTGAAGAGTCTATGAGCCAAAGTCTGATTCTTGATGAAGCCAGAGTGTGTTTAGTAAGCAGTGCCCACAAATGGATGGAGTGCCTGTGTTTGTCCTATGGATTCCCATGGACATGTTTCTGCTGGCAGAACATCATCACAAAGTGACACTTTTTGATCCCCTCTTTTAGGAGAACTGTCTTTAAGGGTTCATAAAAGAATCAAATTAGGAAAGGGCCTTGAAGAACAAATACCCAACAAGATAGACATGTCAAGGGACAGAATCAGCAGTGGTTGGTATACAAAGCGAGAGAAGCACCCAGAACCTAGAGTCTGGACATAGCTCCAGTGTCTCCCAAAGTGGTAAGGCCAGGCCTCATGCAAATGAGGGCCAGAGGAAAGAAAGTGAGACAGGGGCACCAGGAACCCCTTGCTTACTGGGGTCGTGGGGCCTATGGCTCTGTGTGAGACACCAAAGAGAACCAAGAAGGAATGCGGGCTCCTCTCTTACCCTACAGGTGGTCTCTCCAGGTCAGGGTGGAAGCACATGAGCGGGGCAGGGTGGGGAAGGGCTCTCTGGCGCTGCCCACGCTGTACCTGCTCTACAGATAAATACAGGACTTTAGTGGCCGTGGCTGGTCCCTTGGCACTTTGTTCAAACATGAAAACATCCCCTACATTTTCTCTCCTGCTTTAAAAACACAATGAAATATGACACATTCCCCCAATATACAATGCTGCTGTGTCTAGTCAAGGTGACTCTGATAAACACTAACTGGAAGAAAACCACCCACCAAATCAACGGCCCAGGGGCACACCCTGCCTCTGTACTATGGCAAGACTATGAGGACACCAACCTCTTTGGGGGTCTCCTGGTGGCACCGGTTGCTGTTCCACCATAACTCGAGAGCAGCCACGAGGCAGGCGAGAAGGAGGCCAATGGCCAAAATGCAGAAGACCCCAGCAAAGCTGTGCAGTTTAAGGGATTTGCCATCAGCCTGGGCACTGGAGTGGCTGGTGAGGTCACAGCGGCCTGTGTGTGGCCACCACTTCTGCTTGAGCACATCCAGGTCCCCTGTATCTTGCAGCTCCAGGATCCTGTAAGACACAAGACAGGTGAGCCATAGCCATTGGCTTCATCAGCTTGGCTACTGGGTCCTGTCTACGGCCCACCATGCTTACCCCGAACCATCACAGTAAGTCTCAGACGCAGGCTCTTCCACAGTGCATTCTGCACCCTGCACCCCAGGTGCTTCTCTCAGAACATAGAATAGGCTTTTCCTCTCCCTCCTGAACCAGCAGCAAAAGGTTCGGTGGCAAAGCATGTCAGGTCCCTCACATGGATGGCAGAGAAAGTGCTCAGGATAAACTTGGGACACACAGAAATGAACTAGGCAAACCTCCAGAATGCAGATTAAGTATGTTTGCAGTCATAAAAAAAAATCTCAGTCAAATTTTAACATCTGAAAGTCAAGCATCCTTAATTCAAGGACCTGGAATTCAAAATACTTCAAAATCTGAAACTTTTTGCATATCTGCATGATACCACAAATGGAAAATTCCACATTTGACCACTTACATGTTAATTAACACAAACTTTGTTTCATGCATAAACTTATTTAAAACATAAGATTACCTACAGATTATATGTATATGAAACATATGAAACATAAATGAATTTCATGTTTATACTTAGGCCCTATCCCCAAATTATCCCATTACATACATGTAAATATTTCAAATTAGGGGGAAAAGTAATCCAAACTCTTAAACTCTTCTGGTCCCATCCATTTCAGAACAGGAAAATGCCATTTGTCTACCCTGTCTATCCTACCAGGATTCACATTCTCCTTCATCACTGTGCCAAGAACGATGCTCGATGCTGCTAAGCTGGTAGTCTAAAGACACCAATATCAACACTGAAACAACAACGACAATCAGTGTGAAGACAGAAGCTGTGGTGAACACAAGGAAAGGAGAGCAGACACGCCAGGGAGACACACACACCCGGGGTTTCTAACTGGAGGCTTACAGAGGAGTCAATGGAGGAGACAGCGGTGACAGAAAACCTGAAGGACACAGAACCAGGAAGCCATTGCGGGGGCAGGGTCTAAGTGTTTCTGTGAGCAGGGTGCATCTATGCTCTCTACTCAGCAGATCTTTCTGAATTCTGGATGGCAACCCACTGGGACTGTTATTCCTATTGTCTTACTTTACAGAGAAGGAAATCAAGGCACAGAGAAATGAAATACCTTCCCATAGTCCCTTTGAGATTGGTACCCACTGAAACTGGATGATGTGCGAATGTCCTGCCTGGTCCAAAGGACTCATTGCACTTAATCAGCCACGACACAGAAGTCAAGCTGCAGAGTGAATGAATGAGGAAGAGGATGGCATGGGATGAAGACAGTATAACAGACAGACGGAGACGTGAGCTCTGACAGGGTGCCAGAGGGAGTCTGGGTGCACAATGGTGGGACAGTTCCTCATGTTGACTTCTACCATGGTGATGTTTCATGCATTCCTTCTGTAGCCTAGAGCCCTATACAGTGAGCCAGCCAGGTATAAACGGGTGGCTTACAGACTCAAAATGGAAAAGCCCTTCCACCTGATAAGTAGTTATCTTTGAGTCTGGTCCATGGAGATGTATTTGGCTCACAGGTAGTGCAGCTAATGAACTGCAGAAGCTCAACTGGACAGTGCTGTGGTCTCTGCACTGGACGTCCATCTACAGGGCTGAGGCTGGGCTCACACACCATACATGGGTCTGCATCTGAGGAATGGAAAGGGTGACAGCCTGAGAGCATCCCAGGGCCTGTCTCTATCATGGGCCCAGCATGGGCCGCTTATTGTCTGGGAAGGACCCAGCTCAGTACAGAGCAGGCTTTGATCTCATCTGTGTGTTACTGGATGAGCCAAATCCTGCTAAGCCTCACTGATTTGTGGTTCCCATTCTAATGAGGAGAGCAGTAACTTTCCGTGTTTTTCATGTGCAAGCTTAGTAGCTATCAAAACAAAGGCTACTTGTTATCAGATATTTGTTCTGTCAACGAATGTGTGAATGTATTTGTTGAATAATGAAAACAAACTAAGCTGAAAGGGCCATGGTGAGATGATAAAAACATCCAGCAAGTTAAGCAGAGCGATGATAACACCGGTGGAAAGGCTTAGAATGTGGCCATGCCTGAAAGGACACAGTCCCTGAGGTCACTCATTTACATGTGCACTTGTGTGTTCTGTGGCTGTGCTCGGAATGGCCCCGAGAACCACAGCTCTCTGTAATGACACAGTGAACTGGACAGCTACAGGATCCACCTCACTATCTTGCATGGCTTTGGTCATCCAGGAAAGCTGCATGGGTGGCTGTCCACTGGCCTTCATTAAGTCTCTGGTGGCCGAGATGAGTAGGGTGAGCTTAATGTACATTACAGAAACCGATATGCAGACAGATGTTCAGACTGTCTGGGAGGCTGGTGACTGAACTACTGGCTTACTATGAAGAAATCAGAGCTTTGTGTTTATAGATACAGACTTTTCACTGCTAGAGATTAATTCTCAAGATTCTGAACATCTCAAACCTAGCTTTCCCATTGCCAATATCTGCGATTAAGTAAAGGTACCCATCTCAGTGGCCATTATCCTACAACCTGGTGAGCAGTAACAGATTCCATAAAAGCTAGTTCGTAGTTGTGCAATCAGATGGCCATATTAACCAACTTCTTATCAAGTCAGTCTTCCCAGGAATTACCTCTTACTGAGAGAACACTGTAGGGACAAATCATTTGCACTGCTTGAATCTGCCCAACTGCATGCAGAGTGATGCTTAATATGCCTGTCTTACTTCCCGGAAGGCCTGAGCATAGGATCTACCTGACTCACTCGCCCAAAGCTGCAATTAGAGGGTGTCAATGCTATTCTTCAGCTCTGGGCCATTAATGATCTGGGAGGCCATGCTCTTTCTGTGACAACAGGCTCTTGACCTCTCCAAAGGTCAAGTCCTGACCTGGGAGATGGTAAGGCTCTGAAAAGACCATAGGGTCTGATCTTCTAGTGTCTGGGTAACATCAGACATGCTGCTTACATTTTCTGACTTTTTCTTCTTACAATTGCATACATTTTTCTATGGCAAGTCTTATTTCAGAAAGAATACATGGCAATTTACAGGAAAACACAGAATAAAACAAAACAAACAAGAAAATATAAATATAGAATCAACAGGACAAACAAGTCATGTGTACAGAGTGCCTTCAAGAATGAGGCTAAAGTAATGTGCACTATAACAATCTATACTCCTACTTAGGAGGAACCAGAGCGATAATAGCCATTTCCTGAAGCCAGTTGTTCTATTTTCCAGACAGATATAATTGCAGGTGCTTTCCTTTATTCAATAGTTGTAGAGCCTGCTACACAGTAGGTGCTCAATAAATGGCTATTAAGCTGCAAAACATTTATTGAATGCCTACTCTGCATGCTGTGGTCTGCAAAGCTGTTATAGCACATAACCCTACAACAAATACACTTACATCTGTATCCTAGCCTCTGCTGAAGCAAAGAAATAGCTTGACTCCTAGGATAAAGGGAGAGGCAGCCATAGAAGCTCCAGATAGGCTTGGGATCTGCTGGTTACACAGTGTAGGCCTTATTCAAATGACATAGTGTGCTCCCCTTGACTTAACCCTTTCACTTCTATGAGGCACATTCAAGCTAAAGGCAGTTTGCAATGGGCTCGAGCCTCTTCTAGACCTAGTGACAGCAGAAAGGTAGAGAGAAAGACTGGAGAAGTCCCCTGAAGGGCAGATATCTGTCTTTTGGAAGGAGGGATGCTACCAGTTCCTGGGGAGGCTGTGCTATGGACACATATGGTAATATTGCAGGAGGTCAACATAGTCCTTGGAACCCACAGTCTTCTGGTGAAACTAAGAGGGGTAAATTATTTCTTGAAAAGGGGATATTTCAATTTTGTTTATGGTGACCACTGGAATGGGAGGGAGAGGCCACAGAACCCCAAGAGGGATTTTCATAAGGATTCCATAGCAATGCAGTAGAAAGGTCAGTATAGACCATTTCACAGCTAGCCTCCTCTCTGGAGCCCACACCCTATCCCCGTGCTGGCTGTGGTCTACTAACCTATGAAATCCTATAAAGAACATCTAACCCCTTCTATTGTAGCATTATGGTTTGGATGGTAAAGTATCCTGGCAGTCGGGAGCCAAGGAAAACCACAAAGTCACACTGCACAACAAATCTCACACAAGATTTATTGGGAAGGAAAAGAAAACAGGACGGTGGCTGCCTCTCTGCTTGGGCAAGAAACAGCAGAGAACTGAACAGAAGGCAGGAAGTACATAGAGTTTCTTGGGGATGGGGGTGGAACTTTCCAGAGTAAAACTTTCCAGAGTGGAGATTGGTGGAACTTCAAGTCCAGAAACTGGGCTTTTCACTCTGTAGGGTGGGGGCAGGGTCCAGCAGTTAGAGTATTCTGTGGGTGAGCCTGATAGTTGGAGGGCCACTTACAACCACATGCAGCAAGGCTATTGGTAGTGGAGGGAAGCAACACCACTTCAACTGACTCATGTCTGTCTTCTCCATCTTGAGGATTTTCAACTTTTCCTTGAGGATTTTCAACTGACCCAATCTGGGTGTTCCCAACGTAATTGCTGTGCTGACAATGTGACAACACAGTAGAGATCCAAGATTCCTACTCAATATCCCCTCTCTTCTTTCTCTAGTATATTGACTCATTTCTATAGACTTACAGAAGAAAACTGAGCAGTGCTGGCTCACGGGCCTCCAACTTCCCACTAATGGGTCCCATACATCCATGAGCACTGTCTTGAGACTCATTCACTGTTTGGGTGTTGCTGCTACATTGGCCTTATGGGCTCCCTTACCATCTGCTCTACAGAGATGTTCTCAGGTTGATGATCTGTGCAATCACCTTGAACCTCCCATCTAAGAAAATCAACATGCATAAACTTCAGAAATGCTGTTGTGTTCTGAATCCTGAAGAGAAACCACATTTTTCTTCACACCTTCAATTTGGGCAACTGAAAAATACCTCCTCCTCTCTTATCACAGATCTCCACTCCAGAGGGCAGAGCAAGGTATAGAGTGTGTGCTTGATGAAGTTCTGGAGAGACCCTAAAGCCTCGCTTACCGTAACTGCTCCTACCCCTTCACCAAGGTTTGCAAGCACAATACTGACTAGGTGGGCTGCAAACCCTCCTTCTCAGCCTCCCTGGTAGAGCCGAGGCTTGTTGATCCTGGGAAGGAAGATACAATCTAGAAATCTAGGATAGAGCAGATGGTAGGGCAAATCTAGACAGGCCAACAGCAACATGGCCCAGCATCGGAACTCAGGAGAGCTGGAAGAACAAGGTCCAGAACTCTCCCCTTTCTCCCTGCGTTACAGGGTAGAATGCAGATGGTCTCTGACAATTCTCCTGTATCCATCTGGATGTTCTTCAAGTGGATAATAAGAACTTCATCATGCCCAAGAGTCTAGAGCTGAGCAGGCTTAAGGGACCAACTCACACTAGCAAGGGACATGAAACGCAAATGCAGAGTAGACATGCTATATTTGTTTTTGATGGAGGCATCCACTGAGTTCACCAAGGCTGAAAACTTCCTGAACACTTAGCCCCACCCCCTCTTTCTCCACAATGTTCCTGAGTTCCCCTAATATTAACGAGCATAAGTTCAAATTAATTAACTCTCAGAAGACGGCCTAGGAACCCAGAAGCCTGTGTTTTGATGTGGAGAGAGTGGGGAATACAGGAAATGAGAGGTTGTCCTCCCGTCACAACAAAGCGCCAGCTTCATCTCTCGCCCCAGTAGACAGCAGCTGCTCCTTCAGCCTGGAAATTTGATCCAAGTCCACAGGCCCCATCAGGTCACATGTGATACACATGGAGAAGTCTGCTTCTCTCACTCTATTACTTTGCATTGCCACATGGATGACTCACACTTTGAAGACATACTTTAAAAAGAGATTGCTAGGCTTCCCCAGATCCTACTCATTTTTCATTTATCTGACTGACTCTTATGACTCCTATGAGCCTCTGAAAAGTCCTTCTGGGTCCTATCAGATGCCCTTTCCCCCTCCTTCCCACTCCCAATACGCCACTGGACTCTACACTGGTATCACCTACACACGTCCTAGTCCCACTCACACCATTGCCTTCCTGGAAAAGGACCATGAACTTCCTCTTTTCATCCCAGTACCCAGGCCAGGCCCAGGAGGAGGTGTAGAAGAAAACATATTGGTACACTGGTAGTACTTAGGAAGATGTGAGGAATAGATGCATTATTCTGGCTCTTGTGTCATAAGAAGAGGTTATCCTTCTATTCCAGCTGCCAAGGTCCCAAGGCTGCCCCAATTGTCCTGACGACCATGCCTACCTCTGGGAGAAGAGGTCCCTGTAGGGGCTGCCATGCTGCAGGGCAATCCCGTAGCCCTTGCTGCTGATGCTGTTGCCGATGACAGTCACCGAGCAGTCGTCATCTGTCAGGGCTGCATACTCCACCACGGCCACATCCCACAGAAAGGCGTAGTTTCCCCTCTTGGCCTGGAAGAACCAAACCACCATGAAGTCCAGTATGGCTATCTGGTGACAAGAGTTTCAAGCAGTGTGACATCTCAACGGCTGAGTGTGAGGGGCTCCTCTAAGTGGTCCCACTCAGACTGCACAACGAATTCTCCTAGCATTCTCTGACTTGTAAATATAACCCCAGTCTATACCATTCATCGTAGTAGATCCAACTACAGTTCATAGAGCAGGTGGAGCGGAAGAGGCTGAGGTGGGTCACAGAGAAATCGACCCATTTCTCACATTCTAACACCTGCCCCTGGGGAGTATAGGAAGTAACATTCAGGGAACTAAGATTTTCAGAGCAGAACTGTACAGGGCATATGATAGCACCCCGGGGGTGTGGAAGAATCTCTTCCCTGGAGAATACAAATGCTGGGGGGACTGTGATAAATCTTTTTATTTTATTTTATTTTTATTTAATGCCAAATGCTGTTTATTGAAGGAGGGAGGAGGTCTTAAATATAGGCTTACATCACAATGGGAGGATCCTGGAGGGCACAAGTTTGCTACCAATGTTTTACAATATTGCATCTAAGCTGTTAATGCCCATTATGCAAGATACACAGACAAGGAACTTCCCTTAAGCATTCAGGAGGGTGGGCAGGGAATTAGCATAGGGAGGATATCAAGGTCAAGGTCAGCAGGCAAGGCAACAGTTACCCAAAACAGGGGCCAGGACACTACAGGTCCCCCTTTTACTAAAAAATGAGCTTCTGACTTAGGTTGCATGGGACATCAGCAGGTCACCTTACCCGTCATGGAGACACCTGATAAATCTTGTCCATTGACCTTTATTAAAAGCCTAACTGCTAAATTCTGCTTAAACATGAACACGAGAATGGGTTCAGTGTCCCTGAATGGACATGAAGGAATAGTAAGCAAAAGAACATGTTAGAGTTTGCTGTGCATGGTAAGAACCCATTAAGGACAGGTTACAGTAACACACAATGCTTCTGCCCCTTGCCTTTGACTGCATTTACATGAGGAGAAGCATATGCACAAATACATGCGTTCATACACAATGCAAACACATACATGCCTTTCATGGTTTTTGTTGGCAGGGGAGGAGGGCACTTGAAACAGGATCTTGCTATGTTGCCTAGGCTGGCTTTAAATTTGATTCTCCTGCTCTCAATTTCCAGAGTGCTGATATTATAGGCATGGAAAACTGTGCCCATCATGCCCATATACATGTGTGCTGTGCTGTGTGTGTGTGTGGCATGCGCACATGTGTCATTCATACACAGGAGGTTTCTAGCATCAGTACTTCCACACAGTGTGGCAGTTTTGCAGATTCTCCCATTGGGGAATCTATCTGCATTCCCAGCTGAAGTCCTGGACCCCAAACCCTTCCTCAGCAAACATTTCTATCTTGAGCCATGGTTCTCACTTTGACTAGAATTTGGGCACTCGGGAAGAATGTGAACAGCTTTTCTTCTTCAAATGAGACATTGTCACATGGCTTTCTTAAAATACTGCATAACATTCCCAAGGTATCAAAGTGCCCGGTTTTCCTTCTCTGTTGAGTGCACAGATGCTTCTCACCCTGTTGTCCCCCAACTATGGCTCACACTGGATGCTGTAGAGCATAGGTAGAGGATTGGTAATAGGGCTGAAGCACCACAAACAAATCTAACCCAAGCTGGCAATCTGTAGGCTTCTTGGCACTGCCAAGGGCATTGTTCCAGTTCCTGCTTTTGTTGGCTTTTCATTTCCCCTAAGATTCTCCAAGAAGTATATGGATACTCAGGCAAAAGTCAGGCTTTTACTTCTTTGGCTTTTTCTTTTTCTTTTGGGAAGGGGAGATTAGGTATTGAGAAAGGACCTTATTATATAGTTCAGGTTGGTCTTGAACCCATGATTATCCTGCCTCAACCTCCACAGGAGTGGGATTACAAGCATATAACAACACACCCAGTGGGATTTTTTTTCCTTTTTCAAGACCCTAAATGCCCATAACCCAAGATGTCTTATTTCCCCATCAGATTTTTGCCATCACAAATATTTGTGGGTAGTATGTAACCTCCTGTATCAGGAACTGGCTTCTTGCAGCCTTTCACAAAACCTTGTAAGACATGACACACACCTATACCACCTATTGCCTTTCACCTGGGGAAGCAATTCAAATATTACACCAAAGCCTCATTTCTTGGCCAATCCAATCCCAGAACTCTTAAAAGACTTTGACCCAGGCTGCAAAATTACACACATCTCTCTCCCTCTACATAGGAAGATAACAGTCATTGCAATTTTTTCCCCGCTGGCAAACAAGTTTTTCCATGAAAAGATATAAATTTTCTACTTCTTAGTACCAAGTTTATCCACAAAATGTTGACTTATGACCTAATATTTGGCTTCAGTCAGACTCGGGAGCATTTCGCAACCATGCTCGCAATTCAACATGACAATCAGACAGGGCTATTTGTACGATTTCAAAAGGGCATGTCATGTTGAAGGAAGAATTAAGATCAGCTTCCTTTCTACCTCTCAACTGATGTTTCGAGAGAAAAAAAAAAGAGAAATAAGCTGGCTCAGGTCAGCTGGAAGCTGACTCTAGAAAAGGCCCTGTGGGCATTCAGAGGGGGCATCTGGAGTCCTTCAAGCCACAAGTCCATGAGCATGCAGTGTGTAGACTCACAGACAGGCAACCACAGCCACATGGGGAAAGCCTGTATTTACAGTCATAATGTAGACTAAGCTTGGCAGGACACAGTATCTGAAAAACATGCTGGCAATGCCCCTGCCTCCACTCCATGTTCCACACTAAGGCTTTTCTCCACAAGTAAGTAGTTCTCTTCTTGACCAGATGAGTGATCCCAGAGACTCAATGGCCCCATTTGCAAACATTGACTGTGGTGGTATTGTGTTCCCCAAAATATTGTGTACTCTAATAAATTTATCTGGGGTCAGAGAACAGACAGCCACTAGATACAAAGGCTAGAAAATGGTGGCACTCACACCTTTAATCCTAGCATTCAAGAGATAGAAATCCCTCTGGATCTCTGTGAGTTCAAGGCCACATTGGAAATAGCCAAGCATGGTGACACACCTTTAATCCCAGAAAGCCAGCCTTTAATCCCAGGGAGTGGTGGTAGAAAGCAAAAAGATATATAAGGTGTGAGGACCAGAAACTAGAAGTATTTGGCTGGTTAAGCATTTGGCCTGGTTAAGCTTCAGGCTTTTGAGCAGCAGTTCAGCTGAGAGCCATTGGGATGAGGACACAGAAGCTTCCAGTCTGAGGAAACAGGACCAGCTGGGGAATTGGCAAGGTGAGATAGCTCTGGCTTGTTCTGTCTCTCTGATCTACCAGCATTGACCCCAATAACTGGCCTCGGGTTTGATTTTATTAATAAGAACTTTTAAGATTCCTGCAACATCGACTAAATTAATCAGGGTCTTTCCTGATTGCTTGAGGAAGCATGTAGCTAGATCCCTAATCTACATGACAGTGCCATAGCATGGGGACTAGTAAAAGGTAATAGGACACATGTTGTAACAGGACCCAACTGCAAAAGGGCAGGCCAGATTCTGGATCACTCTGTACAACATATTACCTAAAGAAAAAAATCCCATTTTGTTCCTCAGTGCCCCCAGAACTCTATGGCCCACTCTCTCAGCCTTATGCTAAGTAAAATGTAGCACCAACATTTCCCCTGTGGATAAGTTTTTGGACCTTGCAGATATCTTTATAATCTTCCTGGTGTATCATCAAGACATAAGCCATCTTCATGTGACTGTGCAATGTGAACATTTCAGAAGTAACTGAAAGAAGGCAAGATGGCTAGAGAGAGATGGATCAACCAGTAAAACGTTTGTTGTCAAACGTGAGGACCTGAGTTCAGATCCCCAGCACTCATGTAAAATGCTGGCTACAACGCCATGCACCTGGAATCCCAGTGCTAGGGAAACAGAGACCAGAGGCTCCCCATGCCTTGCTGCCCAGCCTGTCTGGGACCATTGGTGAGCTCCAGGTCTCAGCGAACGAGAGTCTCTTAGAAAATAAGATGGAGAGCAATTAAGGAAGATGCCTGCTAATAAACTAGCTGCCACACACACATATACATATGCATGTATACATGTCAAGACATTCATACAAATGCCTTTTATTTGTATGATTCATACAAATCACAGCTCTGTAACCTGCATGCAAACCCCATTCTTGATCTTTTGTGGAATGATTTCTACCTTTCACTTAAAAAAAAAAACAGGATGTAGTTACTGTAGGTCAGAATAAATTTTCTATACACATTCCAATAATCATGAATCTACCTCCTTATTTGATGTTGCTTGTACACAAGGTTGGCTTGATCATATGGGGGATACCTAATATTTCAAGTTTCTGAACCCCAGAAGATCTGACTCTTCTCCTTTTCCTGACCCTCAGCCATGATAACCACTTTTCTTTTTTTGAGTGTTTGGTTTGAATGTAAAATGTCCCCCTGGGCGAGTGCTTCAGACATCCATTTCCTACCTAGTGGTGCTGTTTTGGGATACTTTGGAACCTTTGGAAGGTGGGATCCTGATGGGTGCAAAAGTTAGCAGCAGGAAGCCTTTACCCGGGCCCTGTTATCTGCCTTGTCTTTCTTGTGGCCCACTATGATGTGAATGGCCACCACCACATGCCTCTATCAATGGGCTGGGGCACTCTCATTCTTCCCCAGCTCACTGAAGCAAAATCCTCCAAAACTGAGAGCTAAAATAGAGGCCCCGCTAAGGTTGCTCGTATCAGATACTATGGTCACAGCAGCGTGGAAGTAACTCATACACCAAGCCAGTGCTTCTTTCCACTCTGCTCTGATTCAGCTGTCCCCCTGCCCCCGCCCATTCCTCAGCCTCAGTGTCTTGTCCAGTCTCTGGTTTCTTTGGGACAGTGTGCTTACACTCTTCCTCCATTCTCCATGCTGAAGCTCAATTTCAGAAAGCTCTCATACTAGGATACAGCACCAATTACTTATTTACAGTGACTTCTTTCAACA